TCCCAAAACATGTAGATGCCATGCAGCTGCTCAACGGCAGCTGTCGCTGTAAATCTCGGGCGGTTTGTCTTGGCACAGTTTCGACCCAGACTGCCGGGCTCTATCTACGATGCATCGCGCCCTGAGACGTCGTCCGGTCGAAAGATATCCCAACTCGAAAAAACGCGCAAGATGCCAGATCAAGGCGGGCGAGTCCATCTCACTGTGCATGGCTCAACCTAGGTTCACCTGTCAGCCAGCATGATATGTTGCCCGTCCACGCAGCTAAATGGTCCAACATTGCGAAAAAGACGTTTGACGACGGTGTTCCCGACCGAGAGAGGGTCCGTCCGTAGATAAAGTTTACCTCTGTTCCAGAACCTCTAAAGGTTGGGGTCGACGGGCCATTCATGGGTCTCAAGCATGAGACGAGACCTCTCCGCAGAGGATAAGGATTGGTCAATCCACTCGGTGTTGAAAGAGAGTTCTCTACCTCCCCTCCCTCTGGGAGTCGTTTCCAAACTGCGTCTAGAACTTCTGGCCGGAGGGTCCCTCCGACCGAGCCGAACGAGTTCTGGGCCGCGTTGGCTTACTCGCGTTCATCGCGGAGATGGTACCCCGTCCCTCTCCTGTGCTATCGTCAGTATTTCGAAACTCAATGCTGAGATGTCATGTCAAAGAGCACATACCCCCCTCTCCGAGCCTCCCTCCCCTGCGGCACGTGTTTGCCAGGGGAAGGCGACCTCCTCTGATCTCTCTATATACACAGAGGGGCCCGCGGTCTTGTTTGGCGGGATGCCACTGTCTTTCGTTCTCGTCTTGGAAAAATCTGCTCCCGTGGTGAAGAATTCTGCTGCTTGAGCTTCCTGGACCCGTCGCCGCCAATCGACGCATCGATATGCACACAAAACGTTCCGTCATGGGCCGGAGCGAGCAGTGATGAGCACCAACACAGGCTCGATCGGAGCGGCGCCACCACCGCCCGGGGAGACGCCCAATTTTGACAATCCGCGTGACGCTGGACATATGCTCCACATGGTGTACATGGTTCTCATTCAGATTGTGGTAGTGGTTTTCTTCGCGTTGAGGGTCTACGTCAAGCTGTCAGTGAATGGAAAGTTTCGACTGGAAGATTGTAGGTGTTGACCTGAAGTACCTAGTTTGACTCAGGCTGATATGTGAGACAGGGAGTTGCCTAGTTGGATGGGTGAGCTCACGATGTCTGAGGCAAATGCCTTGCGGATGTTGACTGGTTTAGATCTTCACCGTGCTCTTGAACTCGACCGTCTTAATCAGTAAGAACAGCGCGCGTGTTCTGGAGCACGACGAGCATTCGCTGACGAGATGAACAGAGCTCCATTTCGGCGAAGGATTCCACATTTGGGAAATCACTGCTGGCAACTTCACCGAGCTCCAGAAGGTAGAGTAATTCATGGAATACGACGGTGACGATTCCTGTACTAAGAGCAGAATCTCCAGTGGCTGTACGTCAGCTCCCTCCTGTATTCGCCGGCAGCCTTTTTCACCAAAACGGCTCTTCTTCTTCTCACCGTTCGCGTTTTCTCCGTCGACAGGAACGTAGCTCGGACGCTTCACGCTCTTTTGGCATTCTTTCTTCTGTGCTATATACCGGCACAAGTCGCAAAGACTCTCGTTTGCATCCCAGTCCAGGCATTTTGGGACACGAACGTTGTCAACTTCAAGTGCATCGACCAGACCAAGCTTTTCTTGTACGACGGCTCCATCTCGATCGTGTCAGATCTGGTGATTCTCGTTGTTCCCATACCTTTGACCTGGGCTCTGCGGGTGTCACTTGCCAGAAAGGTGAAGGTGGTGGCACTTCTAGGCGCGGGTGGTGTGGCATTTGCGGTGACGGTGTATCGGGTATACCTCACCATCAAGTTTGCGGACACCAAAGACCCAACTGTGGATTTCATCCCTCTTGACTGGACTGTGTGAGTCTTTGCCTTTTGAAGGAGTTGTGTCCAAGGTAACACTCCTAGCTGACAGGGATTCTGCCAGGACTGGAGAGCTCGCCATTGGCATAGTCTGCGCTTGCTTTCCCTCAATCAACCACCTGCTCGAGCGGCGCAGCGCGACAAGAGTATCGTCTAATTCTTCCACGGCAGGACTCTCTTGGTGGAGGAAGGCATCGAAAGATTGTCTAGACTCCTTGTCATCTTGGGGCATGAATCGCCGATCCAGGCTAGCGGCTGGGAACAGGATCGGGCTGCAAAACACCACAGCAGATTCGAATGCGAGGCTTGCGTCGACCCCTGGAAGTACTCCCGGCACAGAAAGAGATGAGCCGCAGCAGTCAGACTATGATATTGAACTGGCCGTGATTTCGATGCCGCAAAGCGAGCCTCATCCGGGAGAGTTGGTAACGACGAGGGCGAGCAACCGCAACGACGGCCTGCTGAACCCTCTACCTGTCATTCGACGCAGCAGTCCTTTCAAAATCGAAGGCCCGTCTTGACGAAAACCTCCCATCCGCGCCGATGCGGTGAGCAAGAAGTTAGACTTATACGACGTCAAGTCGTCAGAACGGATCGTGCAAATCGGCCCGGCGGCGGGCCTGAAGGAGCATCTCGCTAATCTGGGAATTCCGAGAAACAAAGCCATGGGCCATGCCGAAGCCCAATAAGAGTTACGATTCTGGCTGTCTTGATCAGCCTCTTGAGGTCCAGCGCGCTGATCAATTTATCTCCTAACCATTTTTGATCGTCATCGTCCGGGTAGTGCCAATCAGGTCAGCGGGTTGATTGAGAAGTGTGTTTGAATGTCTAGGAGTGTTGCCAACGACTTTTGGTAAACTCAGTACTCGTCTTTCTGCCGTTCGGTATGGGACGGTATCGACTTCTCAAGTCCTACGATTCTCTTGGAGATCTGAGCAATATGATACTCTTAATCTTCTATCAAATAGAGTATATTTCTCTACGTATATACATAAGAAGGACTGTGATACAGAAAAGTAATAATTATGATATGAGTAGTGAAAGGGGTACACAGGAAGATGAATAGCGGGAAATCGATTTTGTCACCCACTTGCCTGGCTCGAGCACGGAACCCTGTGATTAGAGATGAAGAGACGGTAGATGGAAGACTGGTCAGACGAAGGTTTGTTGTTGAGGTCATTGGACACTGGAAGGGAATGATTGTTTGCTGGAATTGGAAATGGTCAGATGTGGGACAAGAAAACACACAGCCAGCCAATAGACAAAGTCACGGAGCGATGAGTAAGACACGCCTTCCTGGAGATGCAGAATTGATACGGCAACGGCGCAGCATTTGGAGGTCTCAGTCTCACCTGCAAGTCTACTGGACCATTCCTGCCAGTGCCAATCAAGCCATTGTCTGGGGAGCAGTGGAAGGAACGCCCGTCTCTGCTGTGCCGGCGCCGTAAGCGGATGGAAAACATGTGATTGGCCACATGTCCTCCACTCATACGTAGGTAGGTAAAGGTAAAGGTCTTAGGTAATTAGAAGCCCACGCGAAGGAAAGCAAACCTCGCCTCCAGCTTTTCGCGATGAGAGTGTGAGAGTCCACCAGCCACGGCTGGGCCCGGGATTCATGGGGTTTGGGGACGGCACCACGCGCTGCGCTGCCCTGTCCGGCTGCGGCCCGCATTGGGAGTGTGGGAGTGTGTGTGTGTGTGTGTGTGTGGCTTTGCTTCCAAGCTGCACCTTGTCGCTCAGGCTACTCAACTGCTGCAGACTAGGTACCTAGGTAGCCAACTGTATTGCCTACCTTATCTTATCGTAGAGGCTTTCATACTCACTCAATACTTTAAGCAATAGAGAAATGGGCATTGAATGACCGCTCACGATTAAAGCATCGTGCTATTCCTACCTCCTTTCATGTTGGTGTTCCACAACAAACAGCAAACGAATTGATCCTTTTGAAACTTTGTGGGATTTGAGAGGTGCGCTGGCAGTATTACATAAGACGCCTTATTCAGGCAAGATACGTATCCGTTACCTTGCTGTGTACGTAGTAAGGTACTCCCATCTCTGAGTGGGGCCGTCTGACCGTCGTAGCCTAACATGACTGAGGACCGGGAGTGCTTGGGTGCCCCCCCGTCTATTAATCGTACGGATACAGCGTGCCAGCTCTGAAGTACTTCCCCAAGGCCCCCAAAATGAGGTGCCCTGAAGCCATGGTGAGGCGTGAAGTGAGCTCAGGCCGACAAAAAGGAAAGAAAAGAAAAAAAGTGGCCAGGGTGTGCCAGCCAGAGCCAAGGCGAACCCGCGCAGGCGACGGGACCAGGGGGCGCAACTGGCAAAGCAGAAAAAAATATTCACAAAATCCCACTTTAGCATTCTCTCCCCTTCCTTTCCCTTTCCTTTCCTCTCCTCCAGCCCACACAACAACACGCACCGTTGCACGCCAATCTTCCCCCCTCAGGGTGCCTCCTCCCATTCCCTTTCTCCCCTCTTCCTCACGTTCTTCCCTATTTTTCTTCCTCGGGTCCCTATAGCCTCACGGCTCAAGCTCCAGCCAGTCGCCCTTGCTGTCGTCTGCCTCTCCGTCCTCGTTGTCACTGCACGTGTGTTTGCATCTCGATTCCGACGCCGCTCTGAATCACGACTGCCCCGTCAGCCATCGACCATCGATTCACACGTCATTCGTCGACCAGCTTCAAAGCCAACATCCGACGCCAGCTCTGTGGTATACTCTAGTATCCATATCCGACGTTAGAACATCAACACAAACACCCTGCCACCGATTGCGAATTTGCAGATCAACAAAGCTTCCTTTGCTGCAAAGAAAAACAAGACGTCGCCGGAATACCCGCCCCCCGGTCAATCCACGGTTTCCGTCCATCGCAAAGCAACACAATCAAAGCTCTCGAGCTATCGCCATCTGCCTTTGTCCGTCTACCTCGACGACTTCGATCTCGACGACCGCCTCTGATCTCTGAGCCCACTGAAGAAGAACCATCAATTCCACCCAAGAACGTCAACCTTCCGACCCGACACTCTCTGCTCTTGATACACACACTGTGACTTTGACTAGTTATGGCGTCCTCACAATTGCAGTTTGCCTACCGCACCCAGAAGGGCATCGGCCTGTTTGATGCTGCGCCATCTTATCAGCCTCTCTCTGGGTTCGCCAATCCTGAAGGGAACCTCCGGTGTTGTGCATACTCGCCCTGTGGCCGTTACTTTGCCTGGGCGAGCCCCGAAGTTGTTACCGTTGTCGACGCTTCCACTGGCCAGCAGGTTCTTGCCCTCCCCATCCTCAATGTCCTTGAGCTCGGTTTCTCTCCTCTCGGCACCTTCCTCGTCACCTGGGAGCGACCTGCCAAGGATGAGAACGGAGATGCGACCAAGAACCTGAAGGTCTGGCGTACTGTCGAAGATGGCGTTGCTGGAGCCGACAAACTGCCCTTGGGCAAGTACGTCCAAAAGTCGCAGGGAGGCTGGAACCTTCAGTACACAGCCGACGAGAAGTTCTGTGCCCGCCAAGTCACCAACGAAGTCCAGTTCTACGAAAGCCACGATCTCGGCACCGTCTGGAACAAGCTGAGAGTCGAGGGCGTCGCCGACTTTGCCCTGGCTCCCGGTCGTTCCCACTCCGTTGCTGTCTTCATTCCTGAACGCAAGGTGAGCACTCTTTGCGTTCGTTCATTCAACTTCTCAACATGCTAACAAGTACTTCTCAGGGACAACCCGCTGCCGTCAAGGTCTACAACGTGCCCCAATTCAACGCTCCCATTTCTCAAAAGACCTTCTTCAAGGGCGACAAGGTCCAGCTCAAGTGGAACCAATTGGGAACCAGCATTCTCGTTCTGGCCCAGACTGATGTCGACAAGTCCAACAAGAGTTACTACGGTGAGACTACACTGTACTTGCTTAGCGTCAATGGCTCTTTCGACGCCCGCGTCAGCCTGGACAAGGAGGGTCCTATCCACGATGTGACGTGGTCCCCGAACTCCAAGGAGTTTGGTGTCGTCTATGGCTACATGCCCGCGAAGACTACCATCTTCAACCACCGCGCCGTTGCCCAGCACTCGTTCCCCCTGGGACCTCGCAATACCATCATCTTCTCCCCCACGGGACGTTTTGCTCTTGTTGCTGGATTCGGAAACCTGGCTGGCCAGATCGATGTCATTGATCTCGAGAAGGATTTCCGCAAGCTTCACACTATTGAGAGTGGCAACCCTAGCGTCTGCACGTGGAGTCCGGACAGCCGTTATATCATGACGGCTACCACTTCTCCCCGTCTCCGTGTCGACAACGGCATCAAGCTGTGGCACGTCAGCGGTCCTCTCATGTACAACGAGGACAAGGTTGAGCTTTATCACGTTGTCTGGAGGCCCTTGGCTGTCGAAAAGGTTGCCGGCGGAGATCCTCTGAACCCGGTCCCCACCCCCCACGCCTCCGCGGCCACTTACTTGGGCTCTGTAAAGACGCCCAGCAAGCCCGCGGGAGCTTACCGCCCTCCTGGTGCTCGTGGCCTCGCCACCCCGCTTCATTTCAAGCGAGAAGACGAGGGCGGCGCGGCCCACATCAGCATGAACAACGGATCTGCGCCCATTGGACCTAACGGGTTCGGACGTCCCCGCCGTGGTGTGCCTGGTGCAGAGTTTGCCGTGCCTGGTGCTGCTCCTAAGGTTCCTGGAGCCGACCCGAACGACGATGAAAATTTGTCAAAGGCGGCACTCAAGAACAAGAAGAAGCGCAACAACAGAAAGAAGGACGGAGAAATCAATCCAGAGGGCCAGAACGGCGGTGGTGCTTCGCTCGCCCCGCCTCCCCGTGACTTTGGCGCGGGTTCTGGGCATGAGGGTCGCAGCCCTGAGCGCCGTGGCGGTGCCGGAGGTAACCACAGACACCGCAGCCACTCTCGCAACCCAGGTGCGGGTCAGCATCGTAACAGGAGCAACACCCACCGAGGCCAGAATGGCGCGCCGCAGGTGCCTAACGCGCAGCCTCAACAGGCCGCACCGGTGACTGTGACTAGCCCCGGCGCCGATAACTCGCAAAACCCGAACGCGAAGAAGATTCGCAGCTTGCAGAAGAAGGTCCGCGCGATCGAGGATCTCGAGATGAGATTGGCCGGAGGTGAGAAGCTTGAGGACACGCAGATGAAGAAGATTGGCACCAAGTCATCTGTGCTCAAGGAGTTGGATGGTCTCGGTGGCGAGGGCCACTAGAGTCATTGTGACTGCCTAGCGAGACAGACTAAAGATGCAAAGAGTTCTGTAGGAAAAGGGACCACCTAACGGATACTGGAATACTCTAGGGCCCACAGGTTAGATGATACAGGTCCCATGGATCCCCAGTATTTGGACGAGTAGAGTCAGGATTACGTGTAGAGGATCAGGAAAATGGAAAATGCAAAATGCAAAAAGCACGGCGCGAACACTTCGTATTGATTTAATGCGCTTCCTTAGACCATGTGAGAGTTAATCATCAATGAGCGGGTGAAGAGAAGAGATACCACCTTAGAAGGGCATGCTAAATGTGTGGAAGTTAGGCTTGCGACGAGCATCCGAGGATATCGAGCCTTGTGAGTGAGAAGTAAGCTTGGAAAGTCTTGGAATCCGGGGCATACTAGAACGAAGCTCTTCAGGGGCAAAAGGGTCGAAACCACTGTAGCTTATGGGAAAAGAGGCAGCTCGCAGTCTTTCTCTTGACCAGTTTCTCCTGCTCTTCTGCCTCTCTTCTATTGCATTTTGGAGTATCAGCTCCGGCATGGGAAGTTGGCGATGAACAATTTGGGTACGCGTATTCATAAGGCGGAAGATAAGGGCGAGCTAAGCTAGCGCTAGACGGGCAGGCGGGGTGGGGAGGAGCCGGGCTGATCGGCACGGCAGCCCGGGCGTTTTGTGGAGATATATCCTGACTAAGCCGGAATTCCGGACTGGGGTCTTTGGTTGACATCGCGAGAAGGAGGAATATCGTCGACCCTTTTTTGCTCTTCCGGAATAAAGGGATGATGTCAAGATGAATGAGAATATTGAATCATATGATCTTATAACGCATATATAGAGCTGAAGCTCCGTATTCTACATCTCCGTGAGTAGCCTCCATGAGGGATACTGGAAGGTGAAGGCCAAGGGTACTACTTATACCCATTCAACGTCGAATCTGTCACCAGCACACCATCCGGCCACTTGGCCGGGTGGTTAGATTCTGACGCAGAGTCGATAGTAAATGAAATACTCCAATGACTTCCGTGCTGGAAACGAGGGGCGCGCTGTTCGAATCCGGATAGGGGCGTAAATTATAAGGTCAGTATTCCCCCTCCCTCGTTCCTTCCTTTTTGGTTTTTGGCATGTATTAAGAGCAAGAAGGTGGAGGTTCACTTACGTCCGGACTTGGAATTGATCCGGACATAGTTGTTGCTCGTGAAGCTTCTATCATTTTCAAGAGACTATTTACTACCCGGCGTCTACGGGCATCATTAGGTGCTTAAGCTACCGCCAGATGGGAAGGTCAAGCTTGGGTAAGGGATTTATGAGTAAGGAAGCTCGAGTCTACTCAGGTTACATAAGGTTGCAAGAATTGGATTGACTGGAAGCCTGAATCTTCCGCGGAGCAGAGCAGGTTGGGCACGAAAGAGATGAGTAACTTAGAGGTCGACATGATCCTACCATCAATTGAAAATGCATCATTGTCAATTCACTTGACTCTGTGCCACTTATGACTATACTGGCTATTACGCTTCAGCAACGTTGGCGCTTTGTCCTCGCCTCCCCACCATGAGCAGCAAATCCATCATCGCTCTGCCCATCCCGATCCCGCTGCCCCTTCAAAATAGCATTCATCTCATTCTGCCTCCTCAACAGCACAACATCGTACCCCCTCAACCTCCTCTCCGAAGCCTTCTCCATCCGGAACTTCTGCATCCTCACCCCCAAAACGCTCCGAATCTTGCGTACTGTCTGGTACTCAGCCAGCTCATTACTCGAAAGACTCGCCTGCCCGCCCGAAAGATTCCTCCTCGCCCTCTTGATCCTCAGATAAAACTTCACAAGCGGCAGCACAACCTCCCTATTCTCCACGATCCACGCCACATTCTCTTTCGTTGCGCCCGTTGTGCCACACACCTCGTCGACGCAGGACGCCATGTCCTCGTACCGCGCCGCCGTCTTCCTGTTCTCCCTGTCGAGCGGCTTCACGTCTTTGAGCACGTCGAGCTTCATCCAGGGTTGCGGCTGGCAGCCGATCTGCTCGAAGCGGTCGTACATTTCGAGCTCGCGCACATCGGCTTCCCTCTTGGCGATGGCGACGGGGTCGCGTTTGGGGTTGGGTGTTGCTGCGAAGGCGGTGTAGACGGCTAGGCTGCGGTTGTGGGAGACTACGTCGGCGAGGGCGCTTGTCTTTTCGAGGAGGGTCTCGACTTCGTCTTCGTTTTTGGGTAGTGAGATGATTGTAGTGGGGTGTGGTGGTCTGTCGTTGAAGTTGATGGGAGCTAGTGTTGCTTTGCAGCTGGTGGTACTGGTGGTATCTGCCTCGGGCCTCGATCTCTTGCGACTCGCGGCCATTGTTGCGGTGATTGACTCTGCCATGTTTGGAATATTCCTAGGTTTTTTGCCGCGCAGATTACTATGTGTGGTAGAAGAAAATGGAGGGTTGAGGCTACCTTGGGGGAGAATGTAACCGTAAGGGTAACGCGCGGATCTCATGGGAGAGTGAGAGTGAGATAAGGTAGCTCGGCATCGCACGTGTCCAACCTTCTTCGTCTGATAATTATCACGGGCGGGGGAAGCTAAACGCAAACAAACCCGGGGTCTTAGCACCACCACAGAAATGATCGCTGAAACGTTCCCGAAGGGTGGCACACAATGGGTTGGAAACATTGTTTAAGCGCAGTGACTCGGGTTCTGTAGGGCTTGGCGTCGTTCCTCGGTTTCGCAATGAATCGGTCTTTGCTCGATGACATGGAGAATTGCCATTGTCCCACAGTGGTTGGTGTGTGCGCAGACAGAAGCACCTTTGCAAATAACTTCGTGGATTCATTCATCATTCATCGCTCATCATTTGTCTACTTTGATCTCTGTGTCCTGATGAAATAGGGGTTGACACCATTCTCAAAGCTGTGTACTTCGTGCATTTTCTGGAAACATCTTCTATCTATCTCTTTATTGAGGTGCCAGAGTCTATCAGATAGGGCTGTTCCGACGACGCAATGCGAGCTACTTTGCTCAAATACTGGACTTTGCCCCAATTGGTTTGTACCAAAAGTCCCAAGTCCTCTCTATTCAAGCCTAGGGACTTCTATCCATTCTCTTAGTCTTGGCCATCTTGCTCATTCTCTTCATCCGCTTCCCCATCTCTCTCAATTGACGATCCGCCTGCTCCCACTCCTCTCCCGTGAACTGATCACGGGATCTTTTGACGGAATCAAAAAGGTCCTCGAGGGCCGCAACACAGTTGTGCTTCTCCTTGGGCGCTTCGACTGGCTCGGTAGTCGCGACGGTCCGGATGGGCGAGAGACCGAGTGGCGACTGACGCTCCATCGAAGGCTTGGGCGATTCCTTGCGTTCAAAAAGACGACGGCCTCGACGTCTTCCCATCCAAAGGGGCTCTTGATCATCGCTGTCCGAGTCGGTCGAGGTAACAAGACGATTTCGACGTCTGCTTATCGAAAAGGGCTCCTGGTCGTCGCTATCAGAGTCGATTAAGATCGTGGGTGACGATCCGTCGCTTTGAGGAGGTGTGATGAGCGTTCCAGCGGGCCATACTCTAGGAAGACCTGCAGACTTCGCAAGGGGCCGTCGGCGGCGCACAATGATGTCGTCGTCGGAGCTCTCGACGTCGTAAACGGACTTGTCGACGGATTGATGATGCTTCGCTCTCTTGGGTGTGATGACTGGGCTCAATGGACTCTCCGCCTTTCTCTTCTTGCTTGGCGCGGGTCGTTCTGTAACGAAAATGACGTCTTCAGTGTCTTCTTCTGTATCGTGTTGGTCGTTCATTCCACACTGCTGTAGGGAGCGGGAAAGACTTCGGACATCTCTGTCCTCTTCGACAGAGTCTTCCTCTATCTCTTCCTCCTCTTCCTCAACACGTGTCTTTCCAAGCTCTTCGTTGTCGACATCGTCAAACGGTAAAAGGCGGGCAGCGTCTTGACGCCAGGTTCTGAGAATGTCGGTAGCCTTCAATCTGTCACGCTTCCAATAATTGTTCTCGAGCAGAGGGTACATCTTAGGCAGAAGTATAGATGTGGCTATATTGGCGTTCTCTCCATTCCACCAGAAGGAACGCGCTGTCGGCATCAAGTGAGCCTTGTAACATTCGGTTATGAGATGTTGATCATTGTCGTTTAGCAGCTGAGTAGCGAGATGGGGACACTGAGAGTTCCAATTATCAATTGCATTCGTCAATGCTAAGAAGGCAAGCTGCTGATGCAGAGACGCGCGATTGCCTCGATCGTCGTTGAAGTCATCCATCCTTTGGGTGTGCCGCGTGTTAGCATGACTGAAAGTTGGGATGGGGAGCTGTGATATTTTTAATAGCTCAAGATACCTGAATACGATCCGGAGTAGTAGCTCAATGCATGTCTGAATGAAGCTGAGAGGGTCTCTAATAACAGAGAAGCTAAGGAAACTGTCGATGGCCAAGTTAGCTGTGAGCGACCTCCAGATAGTGTGATAGGATATTTCCTTACGTCAAGTGAAAAGTAGACTCATCGATGACTTCAATTAACGATTGACTGCCGGAAGTTCCTGGATTGATAATGGACCGGGCTCGCAAGACGATATTAGAGTGAGGTTCGTGGGAAAATATGGTAGGAAGGCCTAAGGAGCGAGGGCCGTCGAGGCGAGTGGGTGAATTGGAGAAATGAGATAAGATTCGCGACTCTCTTTTCCTTCCTGAAGTGGACAAGCAAAATGTCAAATTTGCCGTTATATTTTGCCTTTTTGTACCTCACTTTTTTCTTGGGAAGGAACGATGGTTTCGTGGGGCTCTTGAATCCTGCCTTCCTCAAATCTAAGGTGCCTTAGGGTCTGGACGGTTCGGAAACGTACCTTGTTATAAGTTCTATCAACAGTCTACCGGTACTTGGTGAGAAAGGCGTGTCAACCAAGTTCCAAAAAAATTGAGAGGCAGTAGTCGTCATGAAGGGATCAAAAGAGTGAAGGCATTGGAATACACCATTTTTTTTGACACCATACGCTTTCCAATCACATCCTGTGCCGTATCT